ATCCCAGCACTTTGGGAGGCCAAGGTGGGTGGATCACCTGAGGTCGGGAGTTCAAGACCAGCCTGACCAACATGAAAAAACCCCATCTCTACTAAAAATACAAAATTAGCCGGGTGTGGTGGCGTATGCCTATAATCCCAGCTACTCAGGAGGCTGAGGCAGGAGAATCACTTGAACCCGGGAGGCAGAGGTTGTAGTGAGCCAAGATCGCACCATTGCACTCCAGCCTAGGCAACAAGGGTGAAACTCCGTCTCAGAAAAAAAATAAAAATAAAACTAAAATTAAAACAACAACAACAACAAAAATCTGAAAAATTCCTAAACATCTGGCCCCAGCATTTTGGAGAATAATGGATCAAGGACCTGAGTGACGGACATCCCTGCACCCACCACTTGCTTCAGATCCTTTATTTTTAGGGCAATGAATCATCCCAGATAGAGCTGTTGCTTTTTTGTAAATCTCCCTAATTGCCTCCCAGTCCTTTTTTTTTTTTTTTTTTTTAAATTTTATTTGCAATCTACTCATTGCTTAGGACTTAATTTCTTAAGAGCTGTTTTAGATTCACAGCAAAACTGAGTGGAAGATATAGAGATATCCCATCTATCTCTGCCCTTGCACATGCACAGCTTCCCACATATCTATATCCCCAACCAGAGTGGTACAAGTGTAACAGCTGATGAACCTACATTGACACATCACTATTACCCAAAGTTCATAGTTGACATTAGAGTTCGCTCTTGGCATTGTACAGTCCATGGGTCTGCACGACCTACTCATCTTTAACCCGGTTCTCTCAACAGCCCCGTTGGGTAGACAGAACAGCAGTGATTGTTCCCATCCCGCAGAGGGGGAAAGTGAGGCCTGGGCTAAGCAGTGACTTGGTGGCAGGGCCAGTCCTTGATTCCCCAGTTGAGATGAGGATGAACCACTGCCTCCAGCTCCAGGGAAAGAGCCCTGGCTGCTCCTACTGGGAGTTCGCAGGCGTGAAGGGACAGTGCAGAGAGTCCCAGGCAATGAGGAAACCCATGTAGGGCAGCAGAGTCCAACCTTTAAAGGGATTGACAGTACGTGTGGAGGAAGGCGGGGGGAGTCTGCAAGCGGCGGATGGAACGCAGGGGCGAAGAGGGCGGGAGGGAGACTGTGCATCCATCGCTGAGCCCAGTCCTGGTCCTCCGCCCTACATCCCACCCACCTGCCCACCCCACCAGGCCGTGACCCGCCCTACGCTGCCCGACCCGCACCTCTCGCACCCGCAGCCCCCCAAATGCTTGGAGCCACCATCCCACCCCGAGGAGCCCAGTGATCTGGAGGAGCTGGAGCAGTTCGCCCGCACCTTCAAGCAACGCCGCATCAAGCTGGGCTTCACGCAGGTCTGGAGCCACCTTGCAGGCTGGGCGGTGGGCGTGGGGGCGTGGTCAGTTGATGAATGCCGCAAGGGGCGTGGCCAGCCGGTGGGCGGAGCGGGCCCAGTGCCGGAAGGCCCCGCCCTGACCTCCGCCCCTTCCCCGCCGCACTGGCCCAGGGTGATGTGGGCCTGGCCATGGGCAAGCTCTACGGCAACGACTTCAGCCAGACGACCATTTCCCGCTTCGAGGCCCTCAACCTGAGCTTCAAGAACATGTGCAAACTCAAGCCCCTCCTGGAGAAGTGGCTCAACGACGCAGGTGGGACTAGGCTGGGGCTCCCGCGTAGGGGGCGGGCGGTGGCCGGTGGCCGCGGGAGGCGCCTTCTAATGCTCACGTCTCCCCCGGGGCACAGAGACTATGTCTGTGGACTCAAGCCTGCCCAGCCCCAACCAGCTGAGCAGCCCCAGCCTGGGTTTCGACGGGCTGCCCGGCCGGAGACGCAAGAAGAGGACCAGCATCGAGACAAACGTCCGCTTCGCCTTAGAGAAGAGTTTTCTAGCGGTGAGGCCCTCTCCTGGGTGGCCCTCACCTGAGGGGTGCGGGCGGTGGGCCCCGGGCTAACAAGCCCTCTGCCTGCAGAACCAGAAGCCTACCTCAGAGGAGATCCTGCTGATCGCCGAGCAGCTGCACATGGAGAAAGAAGTGATCCGCGTCTGGTTCTGCAACCGGCGCCAGAAGGAGAAACGCATCAACCCCTGCAGTGCGGCCCCCATGCTGCCCAGCCCGGGGAAGCCGGCCAGCTACAGCCCCCATATGGTACCAAGAGCCCGCCTGGGGGGTGGGAGACCACAGAACTCCGCAGGCACCTATGTGAAACCCACCCTACCTGGTTGTCCACAGAGCCTAGAACAGAGGCAAGGAGAGTCACTCTTGGGGACAGGCCATCACGTAGATGGGCACAGTCACACAGGGGCAGTTTCCAGGGAACTGTGGTCTTACCTGGGGGATACAAGCACCCCTAGATACACACCGACATAGCCAGACACAGAGTTATTACAGTGGCATAGCCACACAGGGAGGGATATATGTCCAAGGACGTGGTCCAGGTTAGAACACACAGGCTCACAGCCACAGGGAGGCAGGGAGAGGCATTTATTGGCCATTCAGGGACATTGTCACACCCATGGGTGTACTCTCAGGTCCATAGCTACACACAGGCCCACTTGATCTCAGACACAGCTGGGACATCCTTTATCCCATCCCTTTATTTCCATTCCTGGAAAGAGCTGTGATGTTCCAGAGAGGAGCCCCCACCCCCAGTGGGGTGAAGGAGGCACTGTCTGAACTGAGTTCTAAAGGACAAGGGAGAGTTAGCCAGCCACGAGAAGGCAAAGGGCCTTCCTGGACCAGTGTGCACTAAGGCCTAGAAACCAGGGTGTGCCCAGCCCAATTTGAGAAACTCCAGTGCAATTTAGTGTGGTTGGCGCTGCAGTTTATATGAATGAGGTTGGGGAAGGGGTGGGGGCATGTACCCTAAGTTTTACAGTGAAGAGCTGGAACTTAAACCATGGGCAGTGAGGAGGTAAGGAGGGGTTTTAAGCTGGAGAAGGAGAGAAACCACACTTAGTGAGGTTTTTCTGGGGCTGATGCAAAGGTGAGACTGGAGGTGGGGTGGCCAAGAAGGAAGCTGGTGGATGGTCCCAGAAAATCAAGTAATATGACATCTCAACACCCTGATGCAAAGATATGCATCCATTTAGCCTCACACTTCAGATCTGCTCTTTCCCTGCCTGGGTCACTTTGATCAGTCTCTGCTGCATTGCTTGCCAACTCCACTGGTAAAAGGGTGGTGTTTGCTTGTCCAGGGAAAAGAATTTTAGGTTTGTAGAACCAACAACAGTAGGAGCATGTAGAGCAGCCGCTCTTCCGGTGTAGTCACTTCAGACAGGACGCAACCCTGCAGAGACTAGCCAGACAGGGCGGTGTCAGAAGAGAGGTTCGGGGTGCTCTTAATGGAGAATTAGCCCTTCATGCTTGTGGCTCAGGATCAGCTAGGGCAAGTGTGAAGAAAGCATGTGGAATAATACAAATGCAGCATTGTGCCAAAGCCCCCTGCCCCCATTCTGGGACAGAGGAGTGAGGTCCTGCAGGGAGCATCACGGGGGCTGCTGGCAGACAGTGGCTAACCATACCTCCTTTCTTCTCTCCTCAGGTCACACCCCAAGGGGGCGCGGGAACCTTACCGTTGTCCCAAGCTTCCAGCAGTCTGAGCACAACAGGTCAGGGAGGGCAGAAGATGATGAGGGGGGCCTGGGAGGATGTGGCACAGGCTGGAGCCTGAGGTTCCCAAGTGGCTCTGGGTGTCCATGGGCCTCAAGACTGAGCTCGGGGAGTGTGGGTGGGGGAATGGGAGAGACAGTGGGAAGAGAGCAGGACTCACCCCTCCTCTACAGGAGCAACTCAGCTTTAATCTGCTTCACGATTTCATATGAGAAAAGCATGGGCCTGGTAAAAGGTGAGGCACTTGGGTTTTGTGCCTGGCCTCTGTCATTTTTAGGCTGTGTGAATTCAAGTGCTTATTTTATCCTTCTAAGCCTCAGTTTTTATAAAGTTATTATAAATCTGTAATACATACAAAAGATATAAATACATGTATGTAAGAGTGTATGTATGTATACACACATACATGCATACATACATACTCTTGTACCCAGAGTTCCCCTCCCTATTCCTGGGACACGGCAGGTTTAGATGTATGGTTATACACCATATATATAAGAATAATATAAAATTGGCCTGGTGTGGTGGTTCATGCCTATAATCCCAGCTCTTTGGGAGGCCAAGGCAGGCAGATCACCTGAGGTCAGGAGTTCAAGACTAGCCTGGCCAACATGGGAAACCCTGTCTCTACTAAAAATACAAAAATTAGCTAGGTGTGGTGGCATGTGTCTGTAATCCCAGCTGCTCGGGAGGCTGAGGCAGGAGAATCGCTTGAACCCGGGAGGAGGAGTTTGCAGTGAACTGAGATCACACCACTGCACTCGAGCTTGGGCAACAGAGTTAGATTCCATCTCAAAAAAAAAAAATATATATATATACACACACACACACACACACACACGTACACACATAACATATATACACATAATATATATGCACATAATATATATGTAATAGATATATATACACACACAGAACAACATATTGCCCGTCCGCAGGCTAGAAAATAGTAAGTGGGCCGGGCGCGGTGGCTCAAGCCTGTAATCCCAGCACTTTGGGAGGCCGAGACGGGCGGATCACAAGGTCAGGAGATCGAGACCATCCTGGCTAACACGGTGAAACCCCGTCTCTACAAAAAAAATACAAAAATCTAGCTGGGCGAGGTGGCGGGCGTCTGTAGTCCCAGCTACTCGGGAGGCTGAGGCAGGAGAATGGCGTAAACCCGGGAGGCGGAGCTTGCAGTGAGCTGAGATCCAGCCTCTGCACTCCAGCCTGGGCAACAGAGCGAGACTCCGTCTCAAAAAAAAAAAAAAAAAAAAGAAAATAGTAAGTGGAGATTTATAAAGTAGTGCTTGCCTGGCACTGTACTAAGCTCTTTGTAAACTGCATTGACTGACTTAATTCTCAAACTCATTTTATGAGATAGGTTCTATTATTATCCCCATTTTCCAGACAAGGGATCTGAAGGTCAGAGGTTAAGGCACTCGCCCCAGGGCACCCCTGGGATGAGACAGAGCCAGGAGTTTCTACCCCAGCAGTCTGGCTGAGTCTGGGCCCTCAGTCCCTGCCAGGTTGCCCATCCCTCAGCTGTGGCAATGTGCCTGGCATCCCTCGCCCCTCCCCTAGAGGGAGCCATAGGGTTCTGACTCCTGGGGGCCCCCGTTTCTAGTCAGTAAAAAAGTGGTTCAGGGCGGGGAGTGCAGAGAGCCAGGGCTCAGCAGGAAGCAGCTGCTCTGACTTCCATTGTTATGATAGGGGTCACTATGGCAGAGGCACAGGGAAATCACTCTGGGAAGAGAGGGCAGGGAGGTCTAAGGCTGTTCTGACTGAGGAGATGCTTCATGAGCTGGGTGGGAGGACAAGTAGGAGTTGACCCCAGGTTCCTCAGTGGGGGATGAGTGGAAGCTGAAGACCCCATCTCTCTGTCTCTCTCTGGCAGTTACTACCTTATCCTCAGCTGTGGGGACGCTCCACCCCAGCCGGACAGCTGGAGGGGGTGGGGGCGGGGGCGGGGCTGTGCCCCCCCTCAATTCCATCCCCTCTGTCACTCCCCCACCCCCGGCCACCACCAACAGCACAAACCCCAGCCCTCAAGGCAGCCACTCGGCTATCGGCTTGTCGGGCCTGAACCCCAGCACGGGGTAAGTGGGTGCAGGTGGGAGGCTGTGGGGAGAAGCAGGGTCGCTGCTGCTTCTAGGGTGGGGAGCTGCACCCCAGTTATGTTGGCAGGTCCCTGCCCCTGCTAATGCCTCTGCTTTGCCTCTTGCAGAAGCACAATGGTGGGGTTGAGCTCCGGGCTGAGTCCAGCCCTCATGAGCAACAACCCTTTGGCCACTATCCAAGGTGCGTGCTGCCTCATGTCACACCCATCGTCACCAGCCCTATCCTCTGGGGCCTCGAGCCCTGCCATTGTTGCTCCAGCCATGCCATCCTGCCCCTGCTCACTGCATCGCTCGCCTCTTCATACCCATCTCACCTTTGGGGAAGATGTGAGGGGTGCTGATGGGGGTCAGTGGGACCGATGGGGAGATGGGGGGCACTCTGGGCAGGACGCTGGAAGGCAAAGGTCTCCCCTGGCCCGGCGTGCCCCCAGCCCAGCCTCTCTCTCTCCCCGCCAGCCCTGGCCTCTGGTGGAACCCTGCCCCTTACCAGCCTTGATGGCAGCGGGAACCTGGTGCTGGGGGCAGCTGGCGCAACCCCGGGGAGCCCCGGCCTGGTGACCTCGCCGCTCTTCTTGAACCATGCTGGGCTGCCCCTGCTCAGCACCCCGCCTGGCGTGGGCCTGGTCTCAGCAGCAGCTGCGGCCGTGGCAGCCTCCATCTCCAGCAAGTCTCCTGGCCTCTCCTCATCCTCTTCATCCTCCTCCTCCTCCTCCTCCACTTGCAGCGAGGTGGCCGCACAGACCCCTGGAGGCCCAGGGGGGCCCGAGGCAGGGTCCAAACCTGAGTGAGGGCCAGCCATGCCTCCCCTCCCATTCCTCTGATCCCTGCCTTGGTCCCTCACCTGGGAAGAGGGCGAGGAGGCCAGTGGTGGGGACACAGAGGGTCCTCAGAGCAGAGTGACAAGGGAGGAAAGACCAAAAAAACCAACCAACCAAAAAAAAAAAAAAAAAAGA